TGACTCTGAACGATTCTGAACAGGTGTTAGCTTGACTCTGAACAGGTGTTAATTTGACTCTGAACATGTGTTAGCTTGACTCTGAACAGGTGTTAATTTGACTCTGAACAGGTTTTAGCTTGACTCTGAACAGGTGTTAGCTTGACTCCTCCATTAAATTGTCATTCCTATTCTACAAACTGCAGCAATTTCCCCAAAGACTGTTAAAGGACAATTTGTTGAACATCATTCAAATACGTTTGTTTCTTTCTTTTTTACTTATTTTAATAAAACAATTTGACACAGTTGTCTTACCTGATAATTGGCCATTTCAATCAGCTGCTCCATGTCTTTATCTGGATGCCTCTGCTTTAAATCCTTCAGGGTTCTCGCCATGTCCCTCCTAGCTTCATCTTCCTCATCCTTCGCTCCACCCTCTCCCATCATCCCTCCATCCATCCCACTGTGGCAGTTCAGTGCGATCTGTCCATCCAGCTCGAGCATGTCCATCTTGGTGAAACCGCCCGGACCCAGAGCTCCTCCAATTCCTCCGTCTATGCCCCCAATATCTCCATCTGGACCACCTTCCGTCTCAACAATGATGCCACGATTCTTATTGGCACGGTAGCGCTTGCGGACATACTTGTAGAACAGCAGGCGTCTGTCGGCCACCCAGGCTTGGACCACGCAGAGGGGAAAGCAAAGGAAGGTCAGCACAGCCTCCCATATCTGCAGAAGAAAAGAGCATGAATTAAACTTTCAATCCTTTTCCTTGTTTCTGTTTTGTGTCTAAGCTTATCCTCACCTCCACCTCTCCGGGGGAAAAGACACACAAAATCATGTAGAGCCAGATGTAGGCGAAGACACTCCAAGCTGCTGTGACAAAAAACACTCGAAGGTGTTTGATCTTCCGCGTCTCTCCATCAGGAACCACATAAACACATAGGGCTATGATGATGAACATGTTGAAGGCAGCGCTGCCTACGATGGTGCTGGGACCCAGAGAGCCAGCTTCGAAACCATGACCGCAAACCTGCGTGGGGGGAATGGTGTCAAAATCAGATTGTTACCATGTCACCGTTTATATCCAAAGATATAAACTTGTTTTGTACCAACCTCGATAACTGATAGCAATATCTCAGGAGCGCTGGAACCCAATGCCATTAGAGTGAGATTGGAAACCGTTTCGTTCCAGATTCTGACCGTGGCCGTGGTAGTCTCACCGTTTGACCGTTTTATGGTGATTTCCTTTTCCTGGGACGTTATGACCTACAGAGAAGAGAAGAGCAAAGGAGAGGAGTGGAAACTGGTTACAACAGAAGTGTGCACATTTCCTTTTAAACTAATGTAGCAGTTGATGAGTGACGTACCTCTATGGACGACATGAACCTGTCTGCTATAATGCTCATGCCCAGGAACATGTATATAAGTGCCACAAAGTAAACAATGGCACGTGCCACTTTATCGCCTACCGAGGGGTTCTGAGGGTTCCATACAGGAAGTACAACTCCTGGAATTAAAAAAAAGAGAATAATTAAACATTGGTTTATCAACAGTAGAGCAAAGAGGTTGCGTAAGTTTACAGCCAAGTTCAAGTTGTTCAAGTTCAAGTTGTGTTGGTCATATGCAAAGTTAACACAAGGTTAACAGTACAATGAAATGCTTAGAATGAGAAACAAAGATTTGACTCGCTAAAAAAAAACAAAGAACAAACAAGAAATGCTAAAGCATGCAATAAGGGTACAAAAATAAAGTACCAAAAAGTGAAAAAGTAATTTTAATATTTACAACGTCTTAAAGAGATAGTAATAATAATATAATTAGCATGTACTACACAGGTTGTGTGACAGGTTATTACACAGGTAGTGACACTGAGATTGAATTATGATGGTAAGGTAGATACATAGATACTGTATCATACATGATACAGCCTACACAGTGCAGCAGCAATAAATAATAAACATATTAGCTGTCACAAGCTAATATTTGTCATATTATTTGTCACAGATATGGCTTGGTACAATGTTATTGCCAGTTGTTCAGTGTTATTTATCAAGAGTTCAGTAATCTGACAGCTTGTGGATAATAGCTGCCCTTTAGTCTTTTTGTACACAATGACAGACTCCTGTATCGTCTGCCTCAGGGTAGTAGACGGAAGAGTCCTTGTGCTGGGTGGGTGTGATCCTTCATGATGCTGCGTGCTTTACGCAGACATCGGCTTTGGTAGATGTCCTAGATGGTGTGGAAACTTCTACCAGTGATGTCCTCTGCTGCTTGCACCACCCTCTGTAGTGCTTTCCAGCTCTGACTGGTGCAATTACCATACCATCCTGTGATGCAGCCTGTCAGCAGGCTATTGTTAGATATTTATATTTAAACTGGTTCAATCCCTTTATTAGTCAGCACCTTTTTCCTTGTCTTTGAAAGACAACTTGTGGTGAGGTATACCATATATGTGGGTGTGTTGATTTTGTCTGCTGGCTTTGTTCATTAGCAGCTGGCAAATCTGAACAGTAGCAGTTAAGAGCTCCTAGCACTCTCAGTGATTAAAGCTGTTTCTGGCTAAGTGTGCATCATTGAATTTGCAACACAAGTAATTCTATTAACTTAGTAATGGCAGCATTCCTTGAAGAAACACATGCGTTTAAATTAATGTTTTAAACATTTTGCGCACCATTTAGTGCTTACAGCATGTGTAAAACTCAAGGTTCACAGGCCAAATACGGCACTTGTTAACATCTTATCTGTCTCTGCAGATGATATTTTAAATGTAAAATGTTTATCGCTTCACTACTTAGAAAAATCTGAGCATACTTCATTTAGTGCAGACTTCTCATGACAGCTGGCTAATTTTGAATCCAGAAAAAAAAAAGGTTGGACTTTTCATCAATCTTTGATTTTGATGTGGAACAGAGAACGTCAAATGAGACCATCAATGTCTTGTTGATGAACCTGCAACCAAGAAAAGATGTCGGGTATCTGACTTGAGGTAACGTATCGACTGAAATTGGTCCGTGGTTTGGACCAAGTTACTAATTTTGGCCCCTTTTATAACTGAGTTTGACAAAACCCCAGGAAAGACCAAGAACTCACTGGAGGAACTTTATACCAGCGTTGGTCTGGGAAGATCTTGGAGTCCCCAGGAGGAGCTGGAGAGTGTCGCTGAACAGAGGGAGGTCTGGGTTTCTCTTTTGGACCTATTACCTTCACAACCCATCAACGGAGAAGCGGATGGAAATGGAGATGATTCTTGTTTTTTACGATGCATAATTTGAGCTCAATATCTGTAAAGTGTTTGCTTAAGTTGAATAGCTGTGGTGGCCATCTTGAATCAGGTTGACTTCAAAGGTAATTGGTTATACAGTAGATGTACATCCAATAATTACTTTCTGAGAGGTGATTGCAATAGATGAGAGTACTTGACAAGTACAAAATTAGTACTTGGACCTCAGACAAGTTGACAGCTGTTTATTGTTGTACCGTGCTCAGGAAGACGAGGTGGATTGATAAAGCTCAGGTCTATTTACCTCTAAAGCTGGAATTTTAATGTTGGAACCATTTTAACCATTGTGACAAGTCAATTTTGCATTAAACAGCTGTTTTCATGAAGATACCATCAACCCACCTTCCTGACAGGGATCTCCACCAGCAGAACAGTTCCCTGAGGAACTCCCATGAACCGGTGCAGGACAGGACAGCAGAACGATGAAGGACAAGAGGAGGCAGAGCAGTGAGGAGGAAGAGGAACGGGATGAATGGAGGGAGGTGACAGAATATGGAAGCTCAGAGGTGGCAGCAGGAGCCATTTTCACTGATGTGGATCGGGCTCAGATTGGCCTGACTGAGTTCTACCGGATCAGCTCAGAGTCGAGCGAGGTCCGAAACCTGCAGGTAGACAAATAGAGATCATTTCACCTTTTATAGAAACTCATTTTTGTTTTCTTTTGTGACATCTTATAGTGGTTTTCTTATCTCCATTCAGTGCATTTCAATGCAGCACAAAACCTCCAGTTAAAAGCACAGAAAACTTTTTGTTTCCAAATAAATCCTACTCTAAAGAATCTGGTTGAAATTTAATTTAAGATGGACTCCAGCGCACGAAATGAAAAAAGCAATAAAAGTAGGTCATTACATGAAAGAAAATTAGAGCGAGCGATCCTTTAGACGTGCTGTAAACGGCGTTATATTTGTAGTGAGCCGCTGTAATAGAGTTACAAATATTAAAGCTACAGCCTTTCAATAGACGGGTTCTGCCCGGGGTGCTCAGGAGCACAGATGAAAAATATCAATCACCTTGAGTTTGCATTATAGACCCCGGAACAAAAAGCCCACTTCGAATAGCCACATGTTAGGGAAGCACAACAAGTTGCCTCTTTTAGACTGAATGAGATGGAAGCCATCGAGGATTATACCAATCCAACTCACACAGATCACCATCCATTGAAACACAAACTTTCTGTCATTAAAGCTCTACACCACTGGACACAGAACAGAAGGGGAGGAAAAGGGACAGAAACCCACCAAAGAAGCTCTCCAAACTTGTGGATGTCCTAACTGGGCCTTTGCCAAGAAAGCAAGGAATCCTTAAGAGCATGCCACAGAACAGAGCAGGTAGAAGAAGAAACACAAAAACATCGTCATCCCATTTGTCGCTGGAGTATCTGAGAAACTCAGAAGTATTCCTAACAGAACCCTCAGACAGAGGCTGGACTGAACCCCCAAATCCAAACTGAGAGGGATGTTCAGTGCAGCGAGGAACATTCAGAGTATATTGGAGAAGCTAAACAACTTCTCCACAGCTCAACGGAGAGCTAGCTCTTCAGGACAAGGCTCAGCTGTCCGCCTACACCTCAGGGGTAAGGAAGACTTCAAAATGTTCATATTTTAGACAGAAAAGGCAGATGGTTTGAGAATGAGGGTTAAAGGAAGCCGTTTACGTCAAGAGAATAAACAACTTTGAACAGAAGAGTAAATCTCAGTGAGTAAATCAATGCAACATTAAATGTCATTCCCAGTCAGTTTCTCCAATTCATACCATCGTGCATGTAACAAACGCATCTCTAGGCATAGTCAGAAGATAGCTGCGCACAGACCAGTCGTCTTTAAGCTTCCTCTAGCCAGTCATAAATCACAGATGAATCAGGCCACGTGAGCTCCGATGTTTCAGAAATGACATGGAAGCAGAACTCTGCTGGGCTGAAGCAGTGCGATGCACTGTGTGTCGAACATCGGCAACGAACTACAAAGTTGCTGTGCCTCATAATCAGTATTCTCTCAGTAATCAATCTTTTTGTTGTTGTTTAATCCCACGGCGGTGGCAACTAATAATATCAGTTCATCACATTACTGAGCCGCAGCTCCACATTGTTGTGTCTTTCCACACATCGGCCAGCCAGCCCTGTTGCTATCTTGGTCAGAGGCACAAAAGCGCATCAGAGGTAGGCTGTCTCTGACCCCCCTTCCCACCTTGGTGTGTCTTCGGAATTTCTAAATGGACTGAGGTGGTCAGAATATATCTCGGTCCCAGACTGAGGCGCCCTGTGAGTGAGGTTTCTGTGAGCCAAAGACCCTAACGATTCTAATGAGTAATAGGGGGCAGATGTGGCTGAGTGTTTAGAGCAATCGTCCTCCAATGGGAGAGTTGGGGGTTCGATTCCACCAGCAGTCACATGTTGAAGTGTCCCTGGGCAAGACACTGAACCCCTCATTGCCTCTGACGTGTGTCCCATCGGTGTATGAATGTGATCTAAAGCACGGATTAGTTTCTACAGATTCAGATTAGCTTTGTAGAGATGCAGTAGAGTGCTGTATGAATGTGTGTGGAGGTAAATGACGGCACAGATTGTGTTGTAAAAAGCACTTTGAGTACCTTCATTACATAAAACGCCACTACGGTATAAGCACAGTCCATTTACCATTTACAACAGGTCAGCAATGGCAGATACTCGACTGAAGGCAACCTAAACAAGCATGTTTTTGAACAGTCGGAGGAAAACCCATACAAACACGAGACCATGCAACTATTGCTGTATAAGTTGCAGGTTTTTTTTTGCATAAATTAGCATGCCTGTGACTTATACCGTGAAACATCATATTTATGTTTTTTAAGCCATATTTATAACCCAATTTTTGGCTGAGATCTGATTATTTCATTCATTCTGACATGGAAAATATTGAACACTACCATTTTCAGCCACTAGAGGGCCCTCGACTAATATGGCAAGCCAAATGTCTCATTAATAGGTAAAAGTAGCTATTAATGAGACACTTGGCTTGCCATACCAAACCACCTTCGTCTCGTTACGGAACTCCTGGAGCAAACGTCAAATCAGTTGCATTTTGCTGCGCCGTCCAGGCGAAATGCAGCTGATTTGACCATTAAAGTGCATTTATTAAGGAAAAGTTAAACTGAGACACACCTTTACTATAATTTTGAGTAAACAAATAATTGTTTTCAAGTGTTAATCTTGTTAAGTTCTTGTTAAAGTCCTCCCGTGCATGCTCCCTTAGCCGCCATTTGGCAGCCAATCGATTTTGGTACAACACCGGCCCACATTTCCAGATTGTCAGTGATGACATAATAGATCCGACTTATATGGCAAAGTGACTTATTTATGTTTTTTTCCACTTTATTAGACATTTTTGAACTGATACAACTTATACGGTGGTGCAACATTTACGGCAGCAAGTACGGTAATGGTGTTCCGATAAACCAGCTTTAAATACTCTTAGACATACTTGTACAAACACTCTAATACATCGGACCATTTATACTTTTATGCTTGGTGACGTCTTTTCCTCTTCCACTTTGCAAATAACAAAGGGCAAAAAGAAAATGTTTCAAGTTTGTAAATATTTAATATAAAAGCAGGTGATGTTTAGACAGCGGACTATCTGCTGTTTGCTTAAGAAATTAAATGTGTTTCTAATGTTTAAGTACTAACTCTGTATCAGTACTATGTATCGGCAAGTATCCAACCTAAAGTACTTGTACTCAGTCTAAATAAATGATAAATAATGTCAGGACACCCCTAATGCAAACTCCATACAGAAAGGCGCCAGGGTTGAACCCAAGACTCTTTTACTTTGAGGCCATAGTGCTAACCACTAATCCATCGTGCTGTGAAATCACACACCAAACAATTAAACAAGAAAACAAACATTAGTAAAATAAAACATTACCATTTGTTTTATAATTAGTGCTTTATACTTCCAGACATTTTGATCACTGAACATCAAAATCAGTTTTCAGGATGTCTCTTCCTTTGCACAATAAATAGTTTCCAGTTGAATCGTGTTTATTGGGGGTGAGAGATGGAGGTAATGTTGGGGGGACACAGAAGGTTTGCCCATGGCGCCACACATACTAGGACCACCACTGTTTTGCTAGTTATTTAACTAAAACTAAAGCAGCTTCTACATTTCTCAAACAACTTCAATCGAGAGGCCTCCATCTTGTGACGGAGAGGAATCCATCTTCACGTGTGTTCGGTCTGCGTGAACGTTTTTTTAAACAATGGCTGACTCGTCTGACTCGAAGCCTCCCCGCCCCTGAACAGCGAGAGCGCAGGTGGAGAAACTTTAAAGGGAGTTTTTCAGATTGATTTTTCAATAGACTCCCCAGTGGAAACTACGCCTTTGAATCTGCTCTTTCATGTGTGTGTTTTCACACACGGGTCATTACAGGCCGATGTGCGCGGGCGGCCATAAACGGCGAGCAGAGGCCGAGTGTTCGGAAGCAGAAAGTTTTCATGACGGTGAAGCAAAGCGGCTTCTCTGAGTTAATGTTTGAATGAACTGTTCGGGTTAAATCAGTGCTAAAACGCCATGTCAGGCTCCCGGTGCTGACTTTATGTTGTCACGCTCTCACATGCGTGCACACTTCAGAGTCAGGGTTAGTCAGGCCCGACCCCGACCCTGCCAACTCTGTATACACAAACTCACAGTACAAGTACACGCATAACCGCAGTTAGTCATCTGTCGTGGCATTAGCATGGAGCCGCCGACCCTGTCCTCATCTGTCCTCCAGGGTCTCGCTGCTCTGACAACAACCCGTCACCTCCATACTCGAGTCACTCCTCTCCAACTGTCCTCGTCAATAATGGTTTTCAAGCAAATATTTAACCTTAACTTAAAGTAATATATCAGTTAATTACGAGACGTACTTTCACAGTCTGGCAGCGTTCCTCTTTCGCTGAAGTTTTCATGTCTCCTCTCAAACAGCCTCGTTAAATCTTCATTTCTCCCTCCTCAGTTCCAATTATCTCCGTCTGCAGGCTCCTACACCTCCTGCTCCTCCTCATGAACGCACTCCAGCTCCTCGTTTCCTTCTCTTGTTCACACCTCGTCTCAGGCCAGCCTCCGCAAATTTCATTTCAAGTTGCACTCGTGAACGTATACTCGCACTCATACTGCTTGAGCCTCGCATCCACACAAAACCTGAGTCTTAGGAGCCCCCAAATAGTATTTTAAAAACCGAGTGAAAATTTCTTGAAAGGCTGCATTTAACGTTTTTGCCAAAACACAACTTTTAGTAACCCTTGATGTCACAGTCCCACCTCTAATGTAACCTACGACACGAGGCCATCTTTTCTTTCAAGTTGCGTATCCAGCGTCTCCCCAGGCATCATTTAAATCTACCATCTATTTATCAAGTGTTATTATTTTTTACCTGGATTATGGAGCATGAGCTTTGACGATTCAAATATTATGTTTATTTAGTTTGAAGAGTAAAACATAAATTATTTGTGTCGTTGCCCCTTCACCCACCCCCAGACCAAAAAATTACGGGAAACGCAGATTTAATTTCAGATCCAAAGTTTAAGCTTTGTTTCCTG